GTATATACACACATGTGTTTTTGTATAGTTACATAAATACATATACACATAGATGCACGCACGCACGCCATCACGCACGCACGCACGCACGCACGCACGCACGCACGCACGCACGCACGCACGGACGCACGGACGGACGGACGGACGGACACACGGACACACGGACGCACGCACGCACGTGCATCGGATCTCTTAATCTGAGATGTCGATGATGTGGCTCTTTTTGCTTGCCTGACTTCCGATTTATGTCTTGATTTACTCTCTGCCGCATCTGCCATTCCATAGATTCCGGGTCTCAAGGCTAACATCCATTGCACAGCTGACATGTCAAGGCTGTAGCAACCCACTCGCAACAAGTAGCTCGAAACTGCAAGCTGAGACATATCAATCGCCCATGCAAGTTTCTCTTGCAGGTACAGGCTCACAAGTCTGTGAACCCATCCAGTCAACATCCGTATCTTCGTTGGCATGGCTGGGATGGGACCGCCATGCCCCCTGGCACTCGGAATCTACCATGGTTGCAGTTTAGTAGTCCTGTGTTACAGGGATGACACACACACAGATACATTTACCACTGGCATCGACCCCGAACATGCAGCACGCCTTCAAAGTGCCATACACTGCCACAACCTGTGCCACGCTCCGGTCCATGACCAGCGCAACCACCTCACGTGGCCACTCTCAGGAACACCGATGGGTCGACTGCGGCACTGCTGGGACAGTGGCTGACCCGCACGAGATTCCCAGTGACAGGAGTGTGTCTGCTACCTGCTGCCATGCGATGCGCCCTCAGGAATGAAGGTTGCTGAGCCATGTAGTCTCCTCGTCCACACACGCAGCCATTTCTTTGTACGTGATCTCCTCTCAGGAAGCTCCGTGGCAGCTGCTTGCCTCTGAGGAGCTCGGAGGACATGCAGCCGCCGTCTATGCGCCAGTCTCCGATCGGCTCCGGTCCTTGGAGGATCGGCCTGCCGAAGGGACCTTAAGCCCAGTCCAGGTCGGGAGCTTCGATAGGTCCGATAGGTCTCACTCCAAGGACTCTGCGATCAGAGCTGTAGCAGCAGGGCGTGCCTCTGCGCAGACATGCTCGTGTGCACGGGATGCTTTCTGCGTCTATTGGAAACCAGGTTAACGTCTGAACCGGACATGACATGTACGGTACCGACTCATCATAGGTGCATCGAGGGAAGAAACTGATGCGCTCGTCCTGCCTTTGCCTGCTCCTCGAAAAGCTCGATGACTCTCCTGCGCTTCCCCACGCGTGTGCAACCATAGACCATAGAGCTAGCAGCTAGGTGTTCAAGGAGCTGCATCATAGAGTCGTGAGTGAGAATGCTTTATCAACTCTCTGGTTTTTCTGGCGCACTGGCATCTTCCGCTCCGGCGGGTCAAGGCACTGAGCGGCGGGGATGAAGCAGCCGCCTTCTGGATGTCCCGTGTTGGAAAGCTCGTTCACATGTCCTTGTGGTTCTTCGCGGTGGTGGCGAATCCTTGCATCTAGGGCGGACCTTGAAGGATGGAATCCGGAAGCCGCAAAGGCTTTCCACTCATCAGGCTGGGAACACCCACAGGACCAAGAAGGCCCAGTGGTGGCCTGCTGGGCGCAAAGGGAACTCGTGCAAGGACAATCCGAGATGCGGCCTGAACTCGTTTCTGCGCTGGTCTTGCTTCGGTCGACGAGCTTCTGGAGCAAATCGACGCACGTCCTGCCGAGCATGATCGAGCATGCGACAGCATGCGAGTTGCAGTAAACACTTCGTATCATCTTTTCCGTCCTTCTCGTCGTTGAGTTTCTGGCAGCTGTCTGAAAGCGCAGTCCACGTGTCCGGCGGCGAGTAATCAATGCCCAGCAGTGCATTGATCTCGTCAGCCAGGACAACAAAGTCGGGCTCCTCCCCCCAGACAATCTTGTGCTTTGGGTTACCATTGTGAGGCAAGACATCTCGCCAGACTAGCAGGGGGCCTGGACGTAGGGCTTCATGTCGCCCATCATTTTGCACACGCCAAGCGATGTCCCTTCGTATCCAAACTTTGGCAACACTTCGCTCTGAACGGTGAGGAAGAGCTGTTGCCTAAGGAAGCACGTCGTGAATGCAAGGTAACAGACTTCACACAACTAATCTCCCACCTCTGCTCCAAGAACTTTGTCTTCTTAAGCTCGCCCTTCTCACATTGCTCCTTCAACTGGTACAGTTGCTCCTGAGGCAACAACAGATCCCTTGAACTCCATACAACCGCTATTCTTCTTACCCCATCACAAATGCTTCATGTTTGGAACAGCGTGTACTCATCAGTTTCGCCTTTGGTTGATTAGCCTGCTCTCGTCACTGCTTCATCCTCGTGTCCTGGAACTTGGCTTCAGCGAATCCTGATCGCAAGGCCTTCTGCAATGCAATGAAAGAGTCCAGCGAGCGATCTGGTTTGGAATCTCGAACTGTATCAATCTCCTGAACGCAACAAATCGTCGATTCAAGCGGCTAAATGAGGGATATCAGAGGGCTTCAGGACTCTAGGATCGGCCTCGAAGAGGAACTTCTCTCCCTGATTCGGTGCTTTCTTTGGCTCGAACCCAGCGAGCAGCACTTCCCGGAGCTGTCCCAACGCCATGCTGTCTTTGTAGGAGCAAAAGCTGCCACCTCCAACTTCGAAACATTCCGACGCGTTCCCACACGTTCCGACTCGCCCGACACAGCGAAGCTGGCCTTCCTTCTTAACCAGCTGGCCTGAAAAAGATGCTTCGGCATCCTGGCTGTCACAAGCGGGAACTTCACAGGCTTGTTCCCTCGAAGGCGGTCCTCCAGAAAGCGCTTGGCTAAAGCGCGCTTCAGGTGAGCGAACGATGCATCTCGAGGAAGGGAGACGGCAAGCTCCCAGCCATGTATAGCGTGGCGTACCAAGACCTCTGTCAATCCCTGTCCACCTTCGCTTTGGAGGTTTGTCCCCTGCGGACTGGGGGAGCCAGTGACTGTTGCCGAGGTGGTCACTGTGGTCACGTCTTTCTTGGCGGTCTTGGCCTCCTCGGCCTCCTCTTCTCCTGATAGGAACCAACTCTTTTACGAAGGCATACAACAATCACTAGCTCGCATACAAGCTTCCAGAGAGCTCATCGAAGTCAAACATGGCCGCGCTGCGGAATCCCTCTTCTACGAGAGACACGGCTGCGTCGAAGCCATGTCATGCACAGCAAACGACATCTTGCCCTAGGGCTTGAAGTCGCAGATGGCCTGTCTTGGATCTCACAGACGGAGGTTTTGACTCAAGGACGAAGGATTTCACCGCTGCATTCAGATTTCAGATGCAGGACCTAGGACCTAGGCCGCTGACACGTGACCCTTGTGGCAGGAATTCGGATTTGTCTGAGCGATTGGTTGCAGGTGCTTTCGGCTTAAACGGCCACAAGGCCCAATGGGCGCTGATCATCTTCCTCCTCCCGCCGCTCGTCCTGCTCTTCTTTTCCCGTCGGTTAGGCCTCGCGACGCAAAGGTTGTGTCCTCGCAGATCCTTCATTTTCAGGCCAGAAGGTTAGCAGGACGTGCCAGAGGGCGAGAGCTCTCGAGTCTGAACATGAACTGAAAATTTGGAGGTCCCCGAAACAAACGCATTGAGTGGCAAGCTTTTCTGGTCCTGTCTGCAGGATAAGCCGGCGTGGGCCTGAAATGATATCGCAGCAAACTGGGAAACACAAGTAACTTGTTGGACAAGACCCAGACCCAATCGCAAGGTGGTCAGACTGGCTGCAAAGTTCGGAAACATCCTGCATGCAGGAATCTTGAAGTTGACACTACCTCTCTACAGGCTGTGTCATCCGCATATTGCAAGGTCAGCGACACCTCCACCAGCGGCGCCCTCTGCTGATCACGCATGCGGAGTGCCTCGGAGTACGACTTGTGACACTCGAAAGTGTTGAAAAGCGGTGTTTTAAGGAAGTTACTGAGCGGGCTGCTCTAGCACCAAGGCCAATGTTGCTCTTCAGACGCCGATAAGCAATCCCGATCTTGGACCTGGGACTTGGTGGACACACTCACGGAAAACAAAATCCAACAAGCGCAGCACCAGAAGTGCACGATGATGCACACCAACACCCAAAACCTCGGGTCACGGAAACATAACATTGCATGTCTTACAATGACAAAACCCCGCCCTTCTGCAAAGCTGAGAACATCACAGGGCATAGCAAATCAGAAAAGCCGCTTTGTCGCCACCTGTCATGCGATGATACTGAAAATCCTAGGCTGCAAACTATGAAATAAAATTCGTTTCAGCCTGTCCAAGATGTGTTGGGGTTTCGCCAATCCTTGGCCAACACTCGCCACCAGATTGAATTGCATCCAGCGTCCGGCACCTTGGCAAATGGAAAGACGCCGCTCTCAGGCACATCGTCCGAAGACCTGCATCTGGATTGCCAAACATCTGTTGATAAGAAAACAGAACAGCAGACGCCAGCCAGACATCGCAGCCTTAAATACCAGCGCGGGGCAGACATTGCGTAGAAGCGATCTTGTTGAATTTTTACTGTACAACCCCGAAGTTGGCTAAACGCTCAGCAATGTTGTCTTCTGTGATTTTCAATTCAGAAGCAATGCTGAGCGTCGCATTTTCAGGTTTCTCCATGTTCCTGGTGACACCATCTCACCCGGGAAAACAACATGAAAACTTGTACAAACAGCAGGCGGTGCATAAACAAAGCACATTACAAGGGCGAGGATGGCCATTTGTTCCACATGATGCAAGCATTGCAGCAACCTTGTTCTGACATTGCGATAATGTGGATTGCATTTCAATGCAAACATTTCACTATGAGAGCTACAGCCACTCCGAGTGGGTTGATGTGATACTCATTTTTTGGCGAATTCCTGTTGCATCCAAGACGGCCTTCAACGCACTTCGCAATCCTGACATTGGTTGTGTTTTGTTAAGTTGCTGCCGTCGTTTAACATAATTCCCCAATCAGTGCGGTGCAAACCATGGGATTCTAGGGTTAGGTGCCAACAGATTGGAAACCGTCTGAGAACCTGATTCGCCCTGGACCACCACTTCACAAAATCGAACGGCAAGCGGCAACAGTACCTTCGCGAAATCCTGAATCCCGCCTGGATATGGAGAGAAGTGCCGTGCTCATGAAACGCACCAATACTTGCGCCAGCTTTTTGGGGGTTATCAGCCGTCGAAACTTTCATGTAAAGCAACCGCTAAACCAGAAAACCTTGCGCTGGTTGCTCCCTTTCTCCTAGAAAGCGGTGGGGTGCAGTCCGACCCCTACGACGCAGCCGAATCATCAGCAGCAAGCCCAGCCGTACGACGGTCTGCCGCAGCATCGACTGTAAAACACCGGAGCACGGCTGGAAGGCGAACGACACGTCACCCCCACTTCAACCAGAAGGGAAACGCCTCTCTGGGAGGGAAACAGTTCTCTGCTCACAATTCTCAACTTTGAACGCTACCTCCAAGCAGGGCGGCGCAACTGCAGGTTTCAGTAAAACTGCTCTATCGGACTCTACCGTGTTGCATCTGCACGGCTTATGCGGCTAGCCCAGGCCGAAGGAGGCAGAGCCCCGAGGCAGAGGCATAGCAAGGAAACTCCCCCGACTAGACTTGGTGAAAACCTGTAGTGAAACCTCGTGTAGACGGCCACTACAAAGGCTCTGCTAAGAGCACATACATGCGACGCTCGTGTTGCCGAGCATGCGAATGCAGGAGATAGGCTGTGGACCCAAGGCAGAGGCTGCTGGGTCTGAGGGTAGGTGTCTTGACCGACGTGAGGCAAGCGGGCCAGAAGCGTGGAACTTCCTGGTGAGGAAGAAGAAACTCAAACTGTGCGATGGCGAAGGCCGCCTGGAGGCCTTTGCTCATGATGATGGTCGAATGCCAGATTCAATGTGGATTTAAATTCGATTTTATGCCTTTCCTGTGTGGGGTCGGCTGGAGGGCTTAGATTCGAATTTAATGCTTTCGGCTTTACGGTCATTTACGATGACGAAGGCATAAAATCGAATATTAATTCCACATTGAATCTTGTCCCGGTATGGAGGGAGATTGGATTTGAATTTAATCTCCCATGGGTTGGGGGTCTTAAACTCCGATTTAAAGCCGCTTTCCAACGTTCGGAGTTAATCCGGGAATGCCGACTGCAGCTTAGATCCAAAAAAATCTGCAAGTTGTCTTCGCCGCAAGGTTTTAAGTCGAATTAAAATGTTCAGGCTCTGGTCCTTGCAAGGCAAAAAATTCGAAATGAAATGCTCAGGCTTTGGTCTTTGCAGGGTTGAAATTCGAATATAAAAAGACTAGGGAATTTCGAAAAACAAAAAGCTTAAAAAAGTGGAAAACAAAGAGCAAACCGCTCGAAAGGAACTAGTTAATCTCAGATGGAGCAAACTGCTCGAAAGAGATTAGAGAATTTCGAAAGAGATCAAAAAAATTGAAAAGGGGGAGGTCTTTAGGCTCTTTCGAGCGGTTTGCTCCTGGTTCTCAAATTCCCTAGCCTCTTTTGAGCGGTTAGCTTCTTTGTTTCAATATCTTTAGTCTTTTCCAAGCGGTTTGCTCCTGTATCTGTCCCTTTCAAGCGGTTTGTCCTTGTTTTCAATATCTCCAGTCTCTTCCGGGCGGTTTGCTACTTCTTCTGGTATTCTGTAGTTCCTTTCGAGCGGTAGCGGCTTGTTCCTTGTTTTCAAATTCTCTAGTCTCTTTCCAAATTCTGGAGTCTTCGCTCCTGGTTCTGAAATTCTCTAGTTTTTTTCGTGCAAGGACCTAGAGACGTTGACGTTCAGGGAAAGGAGCAAAATGTTCAAAACAGACTAGAGACTTTCGAACGAGACTAAACCAGGAGCAAACCGCTCGAAAGAAACTAGAGACTCTTAAAACAAGGAACAAAGCGCTCGAATGCGTTTCGGGAATTTGAAAGCAGGCTGGAGAAAGTGAAAACAGGCAGGAAACGGCTCGAAATGAACTGGACATTTCGGACACAGGAGCAAACCGCTGGAACAAGACTGCCTTTTGCTAAAAAGACTAGAGAATGTGAAAAACGAGGAGCAAACCGCTCGAAAGGAACTAGAGACTTTCAGCAGGCGGAGATACTTTTGAGAATCTGACAATTCGCTCGAAAGACCAAAGAATCTCGAAAGAGACCAGGTTGATTCAAAACAAGGAGCAAACCGATCGAAAGACTGGAAAGTTTCAGAAGGAGCAATGCGTTCGAAAGACACTGGTGGATTTCGAGACAGACCAGAGAAATTGAAAACAAGGAGCAAACGCTCGAAGGAACGAAAGAGTTTCAGAACAAGGAGGTTCATGGGAAGTCTTACACCACGCAACTAACACAGAAGCTACGGTGTGCGAGCAGCTACAACAAAGCGAAGTGTGTAGGCATGAAGCTACAAGGCGAAGACATGTGAAAGCACTCGCACAACACTCCTTTTGTTTCGGCTTGCCGGA